TTCTCTCTCTCTCTCTTCCCTTCTATCCCTCAGTCCTGCAGACACACGCCACACGCACCGCGTGGCAGCGGCGTGATACAAAACCGGACGTCTATGAGTCAACAGGCCGTACAATCGATGTGGACCCTTGTCCCCTCCGTGTCTGAGTGCCGCCATCGCACTTCTTTATCTTTTTTTCCTGTGTATGCCGTATGCTCCTATGGTTCCGCTGCTTGCTGTGCAATGCCGACTTGCGTGAACGAAAAACGACGCTTTGACTGCTGGCGAACGGCGAATCCTCTACACCTTTTCCGTTTCACCACGTTCTTGGACGCGCTCGATGGCTGCCGTTGTAACGCTGCCACGTGGGTCTGTCTCGGCCCTTGTTTGTCTTTTACAGCATTGGGACTGCTCTGTGGTAAAACCATTCGGTTGCAAGAGCGATTCCAATGATTATGTGTCTTTTTGCCGGGAACTTACCACTCTGCATGGTGGTTGTGTGGGACTGCGTGGGCGGTGGAAGGGCGATGTTGTCACTGGCGTGGTGGCGTCTGCGTTTCTTTGTGTCGGTGGTTGTTCTTTGGTGGGGATTGTTTCTGGCCGGATGCCTCTGCGTGCCACTGTGTTTATTTGCTGTTGTTGCTGTTTTTATTTCTTTTTTGACCGAGCAGATAGAGATACTTTGGATTGACCTGCACAACTATCGTTTCAAGGTGTTAAGGATTACTTGCAGTATTAGGACCAGTAGTATTGGGATAACGATTTATCGGAATTGTTTTTCTGGATTTTCCATTTGTAGAAAGGGATTTGCTAAACGAGATTTCTGATTGACGGGACGAGAGCGATACACCGCGACAGCCCTGCTGGTGCCTGTTTGGGTTGGCGAATGTTGCCTGCGGTGGGTGCGTGTCCGCGCAGCCGGCACCGTGTGCGGCGCAGGGCCATTGCGGCTGTGCGTGCGGCGCTGCTCGTGGTGTTGACGCTGGTTGTGGCGGCGGCGTGGATGCCCGCGGCGCATGCGGTGGTGCTGCGACTGCGGGGCGGCACGGTGGACAGAGCCATCACGGTTGGCCGCGCCGTGGACACGGTGCTGATGGACGGCGTGTCCATCACTAACGGTGTGGCTGTGGTGTTTGACGTTGCGGCGATGCTTCCCGGCGCGCTGCGCATTGAATTGAGGAACTGCGTGTGCGACGGCGGTGCGCAGATCTACGTGCGGGGCCACAGCAGCGAGCCGGCGAGTGACCAGAGCCTGGAGGTGAGCGTGAGCGGGCTGTCTGGGAGCTACTGCTCGCTTGTGTTTGTGCACAACCTGCCGGCCCACACGAACGTGACGGTCCGCGACTCGACGATTGTGACGGCGGGGCCGATGCGCTACTCCCAGGTGAGCGGGCTGACGGACGCGGTGGCATCGCCGCTTGTGCTGTACGCGACGTCGCTGTTGCAGACGCAGCTGCGTGTGAGCAGCACTGTGCTGAGGTCGTTGCACGCGGGCGGGTCGGCGGTGCACGTTGGCGGCGGCGTGGACCTGCTGTCGAGCGCGGTGGTGCTTGACGGCGTGTCGCTGGAGGCGTCGGGCGGTCCGACCGCGTCCGCGTTGCGTGTGGCGTCTTCGTCGCGCCTCAGTCTGCGGAGCCACTCGGTGTTCTCCGTGACGAACGTGTCTATCGTGAGCAGCGGCGGCGGAGTTGTGCTTGGAGAGCGCCTTGCGGTGTTTGATTCAGTGCTGCGCTTCGTGGGCGTCGAGGGATCTGTTGAGTCGTCGCTGGTGCGCTGCGACGGTGGGACGGTCGGTGCCGGCGGGTGGCTGGACCTGCACGACGTGTGGGCGGTGGGCGAGGCGTCGTCTTTGGCGTCGCTGTCGGGGGTGACGCTGAGCGGCGGCGCCGTATCGATTGCGCGCTGCACTGCCACCGGCGCGACGCTTGTCTCCGGGCTGACGATCAGGAGCGGCGCCGTGTGGGTGCAGTGCAACCGTGTCGGCGGCCGGGTGCTGCAGAGCAGCGGCGACTACCGCTTGGCCGGCCTGCCCTCCGTGAGCGTGGTGCCGTGCGACGGCTGTGCGGCTGCGCTGGCGTGCTTCGATGCGCTGACGGCGTCGGTCACCGACTGCGTGTGCAGCTGCCGTGCCGGCGGCGTGGGCGAGGCGTGCCTGCCGTTCGACGTGCCGCTTGCGAGGGCCGGCGGTGGTGGTGGCGGTGCGCCGGGCTGCATGGGTGGCGTGACGCTGACGGAGTCCGTGACGGTTGGCGGCGTGCGTGCGACGGCGTGCTTCGACTCGGTGGTTTTCAGCGGGCCGATCACTGTGGCGGTGGATCTGCGCTCGATGGATGCGTTTGCTGACGCGCTGAACGTGACGGTGCGCCACTGCGTGCTTGAGGGCGGTGCGCAGCTGCGGATTGGCGGCCTCAGCGAGAGCACGGCGCGCCCGATGCCGCACGCCCTCGTCAACATGACGAATGTGACGTCGCTGGAGGGCACGATCGTGCTGCATGGCGCGATGCCGCTGCACTCGAGTGTGCTGCTGGCGAACTCAACGCTGCGTGCGACGGTTGGCGGGTCGCAGTACGTGCAGACTACCCGTGGCCACGAGGGATCCCGGCACGGCCCCGCACTAGTTCTGGACGGCGTCCGGCTTCTGTCGACGCGGTTTGTCATGACGCGGTCTACACTGGTGTGCGGCGGGGAATCGTGCGCTGCGATCCTCGTGGAGCGCGGCCTTGGCGCGAACATGTCCAGCGTCTTCTACATGGACAACTGCGCTGTCCTGTCGCGGACGCACGTGATGTACGCCCTTGCGTCGGACCTGCGTGTCAGCGGCGGCTCCGTGTTCTCCATACAGAACAGCTCGTGGAGTGCGCCGAGCATTGGCTTCTACGAAGGTGCTTTTGTTTTCAAGGACGTTGTGGTGGATGGCGGCAGCGTGCTGCAGATTGTGTTCAGCACTTTCCGTCTCGGCTTCGCCATGCTCATTGCAAACACGCTGACCGTGACTGGCCGCAGCTGGCTGGTGCACCGCGACCACGAGTTCCCGCACGCCTACGTTGTGTACGT